GCTAGCACTCTACCACTTGAGCCACAGCGCCACTTCCGGCTTTTTTCTTTTTGCTTATGTGGTGTTGAGGAATCAAACCCAGGGCCTCATGCATGTAAGGCAAGCGCTCTACCACTGATCCACCTTCCCAACCCTGTACTCACATTCTTTTTTTTTGTACTCACATTCTTATAACATATATACAAGTGTCTCTCACTATCAGCCAATTTCTGTTATTATTCTAGCTAGGTCAAGTTCTTCAGTCACTAAAACAAAGTCTTCTGTTTTGATAGCCTATGAAGCATCTCAGTTGGGAAATGAGAGGTTTACCTTGATTCTTTCTCGAGCAAAGTTGAGATAAGTTTCATTCTCTTTGTCTCCAATGTTAGACAGTGCTATGGAATAATAATCAGAATTGTTGACTCGGGCATTCACACACCACTCCACATTGAATAGATGTGCAATGGTATGAATTGCTAAAAGGGCAAAGAAGAGAAACAAGGAAAGTGAAAGTATGCACAAATTTATCATAATCTGGGCTTCTAGCCACAGCCTCTTACTCTATGATAAGTCAAAGGAACACAAAGATGGTCTAGGAAATCTTATAAACAAGATCAGGGTCCCCAAAGCAAAGGAATCTTTTTTTTTAGATATTTTTATTGTGAAAATACTATACAGAGGAGTTACAATTACATGGACAAGATAATGAAGCAAAGGAATCTTAGTGGTTAAGCTCTTTTCCTCTGTAGGGTTGTGGAAATCTCTTAACATCTATGGTGTTGAGGTAAAAATTTTGAGCTAACATTTCTAAAGATTCAACCAATTTCTGAACTTCTAGATTAGCCTCTGTCTCTGAGGAAGTTAGCTGTGCTCTCCTTATCTCTCTCTTTCCCTACTGTGTCTGTGTTTGGATAAGAAAATTCTATATATGCCATATGTCATATAAACATAATGACTGGCCCACTTATGTAACTCTGCAATTATCTCTGAGAAAGATTAAAGAATGATTGATACAATCCAATGGCTGTATGAATATCTTTAAAGTGAGTTTCCTATATTTGACAATCATTCGTATAGGGTTTACTTGATACCAAATACCGTTATCAGTGCTTTACAATCTTTTAAGCCTTAATCATTGATGTAGGTACAATTAATATGAGCTTTTCATACAGATGAGGAAACTAGGGCATAGTAACCTTAAAATCTTGTTCATGGTCACCTAGTCAGGAAGTAGCAGAGCTACTATGATTGTCTTCGGCATGTTCCTTCTTCTTCTTCTTCTTCTTTTTTTTTTTTGGTTGGTCATGGGCCTTGAACTCTGGGCTTGGGTGCTGTCCCTGCACTCTTCAGCTCAAGGCGAGTGCTCTACCGCTTGAGCTACAGCTCTACTTCCAGAATGTTCCTTCTTGTACCAACACTCTCACCCTAATAATTATGATAATTGTATAGTAGATATGCCTATTACATGCATACATATAATGTGTTATTTGTTATTCATCAATGCATGTTTATTAACATGCATGCATATTATTTATTATACATATTATGATTATTAAAAAGTAACTGTAGTAATAATGAAGGTGATAAGTACTTTCTTAAGGGAGTCTCAGTTTATGAACCGATGCTCCTAGATGTTTACTGAAAAAAGTTCACATGTCCATATGTGTAGCCAGGTAATTTTGTAAAAATCAATGAATAGAGGCTCTTATATGCGGATTAACAAACATCTTTGGAAAAGGATGAGCTTGACTTTTCCCATGGCATATTTTCATTTTTACAGAAAGATCTTCAGATGATAAAGCTTTAAAGATTAAAGAAATAAATCTTATTTTTTACTTTTTAAATCTTAATATTATGTAACAGAGTTGTAAACAATTTTGAACAGAACTCATTTTAAAACAATGGCACATCTGACTATTACCCAATAAAACCATAAAGTCTGAACTCTTACACATATGTATCTAAGAAAAGAATAAACTGTCTGGGTACTATTTTTCTTTGCAATTTCAAATGTCTTAATAAACTTACCAGAGTGAAGTGCTATCATCCATGCTACCATTTTATGGAAGGTAAGGTTCCTGTCCAGTTGTCTTCTAATTCTTGTTGAGCAGCACTTTGGATTAAGAAAGAATAGAATAGAAATAGTTAACAAAAAAGGTTTCTAATTTTCACAACCATTCTATAAATGACATCTTTCTATGCATTTGATGGATGAGAAAATGTAGATCCAGAGATGTAGTCGTTTTTCCTCAGATCAAACATTTAGTAAGTGACACAGTTCTCATAACAGTGAATTTGGACAGATAGCATATATATCTATACTGTTGCTAGTCCTAAGTAATTTACGTACTAGACAGAGAGGAGCTATAGAAATTAACAAAGAGCAGTCTTTTCTTCACATACCTGGCAGTCTAGTAGGGACAAAGACAAGCAAATAGTTCGAGTACAAGTGATTAGTGCTCCAACAACACTCTACTATATACACATTATGGGAGGTCAGAGACACGACAAGAAAACATCCCTGACTATATAATAGCAGCAAAAAAGAAAGACAATCACATTTACCAAGAGGCTGCTCAAGGATCTACTGTAAGCACTTATATGCATTGATTCACTTAATTCTTACATGAGTCTTATTATGGAAGTACCATTGTTATTTGTATATACCAGAAACAAAGACAGAGAGAGATTATCCTACCTTTATTCACATAAGAGCAGAGCTGTGATTTAAACCCATGCCAACTGATAACAATATACATCAATATTTTGCTCTTTCGTATCCTACCTGATTACCTTGACAATAAAAATAGTATTTCAGCCCATATTTCAGTGAATCTATCCTACCTGTGTATGTTAGTGGACTTGGGTTTGAATGTGGATTCAGGCCAATATTCAAAGCAGAAAGAAAAACACTAGTTGATAGTTGAAATCGAAATTTTGCTCTTCTGAAAATTGGACAATTTCTGGTTCTGACTGCTTTGTTCCAGAATCTAAGTATACTATCACACAGAAGACTTTTAAGAAGACAAGAATTTAATTTCAAAAATATCTTAGATAATGTAAATGTATTCATTTACAAGACCATTCATAATGGTCTTACAATATTTTTAATAAAACATCCTGATTTTTATAGATAAAGCAATCGTGAAGAAAACTGTATTTGCTACACTATTTCTAAGTTGACCAAACCTAGGCTGTTTAAATCATGACTTCTGATTCTTAGAATTGTAGAAATGCTGTTGAAGAAAACGCTGAGGATTCCAGGTATATGTAAAAAATGACTCAGGCTTTGTTAAGTCTTAGAAGGTGAACCAAAGAGTTGACCCATCATGTAATGTAGTAAAATAAGTATTATTCCCCCTCAATCTAGAAAAGAAAATCAAAACTAAAATCTCCCAGTGTCTGGAATCTAAATCTATTTATCTATCAAAGTTTCATGGCAATTTTCATCAAATAAAATGAAAAGATATAGTCACTATTATTCTAAGTGACTAAATATTGAGTGATATTGCCCCATTCATAAGGAAATGGAAAGACTTGGAAATATCATATTTAGTGAAGAAAGCCAGACCCAAAGAAACGTAGGCTCCATGGTTTCCTTCACTTGTGATAATTATATTATAAGTCTAAGGTAGTCCTAGCAGAGGATCACAATAGCTCAACAGCTTTGTACCTGTGACCATATAAAAATGATGCTAATTGAAATGAACTCCAAGATATGGAAACAAGAGTTTTTAAAATGTACTGTTTGAAGCTATTTTTTCTTTCATTTTTCCCTTTGGTTTACTCCCTGTTGTCCCTGTTTTTAATTTGGGTACCCTGTGTCTTGTATATACATTTATCTGATTTGGGGAAGGGAAGGGGAGTAACAAAAATGGTGAGACAAAGGACTAAGGGTGAACCAATGCAAACTTTACAACTTGTGGGGGTGGAGTGGGAGAGGAGTTGAGGGTAGGGTGGTAAGGGAAAGTGGAAGAAAATGAGGGAGAAGGAAACACTCGTAGGCAAGAAATATACTCACTACCTTACTTAGGTCACTATAACCCCTCTACGCATCACCTTTACAATAAAATAAAGTATTATTTTAAACAAGAATTTAAATATTCTCTCTGGAAGGTGGTCACCAAAATTAAGAGTGGCAGTAGTAATATTTAGAATAGATGGCAGTTAATAAAAGGTGTTTTATCATATGAATTACCATGATCATCTATCAGTGAGCTCAGTCTATACTAGGGAAATGTGTGAGATTTTGATTTTTAGTTTGTTTTATTTCAGTTTCTGCCCAATGGGTTGGAAAGCTTGGATGGATATCTAACAACTTCTAGTCATCATTGACTGATGGGTATTCCTAAGGCATTAACTTCCTGACATATAAGGCTAGCCCTAGAAAAGTTATTTTACTAATTGTATTGTTAATAATTTTAAGGAAATCAATTCTTCTGTTCCCAAACCCATAGTTCTGTTTTGTTTTGTTTTCTGGTCGTAGGGCTTGAACTCTGGGCCTGGGCGCTGTCCCTCAGCTCTTCAGCTCAAAGCTAGCGCTCTACCACTTGAGCCACAGCACTACTTCCGTTGTATGAGTGCTTTATTGGAGGTAAGAGTCTCATGGACTTTCCTGTCTGGGCTGGCTTTGAACCGCAATCCTAAGATTTTAGCCTCCTGAGTAGCTAGGATTACAGGCATGAGCCACTGGCACCTGGCCAAACCCATAGTTTTTAAGAGTCCTTAGGGGAGGCAGTGCAATTAGGGGTTGTGTTCTAACCAGGATTTCTTAACTAACAATCCTAGTGAAAACTTGCCTGTTTCCCAGGCTTTACTTCCTCTAAAGAGCAAACATTTGTTACTTATATGGCAAAAGGAATTTTGCAAAAGTAAAGTCCAAAATTGACTTTAAGAGGCATATTATATGGGTAGGTTTGACCCAATAACATCAACTCTTTGAACTGAACTCTATAAGTCTACGATGAAGGAAGTCTTGCTTGCTTAAGGATGTAGGGAAACCCATGAAGGGAGTGGAAGGGCTCTAGGGTCTACGAGCTGCCCCTGTGTGGCTGCAAACAAGGAAAAAGACACCTTTTGTCTGCAACTGAATCTGCTAAGAAGCAAGACATGCTTAGCAGAAAAGCTAGTAAAAGGTGCTGCACTTCTGACTCACGCAATTGTAAATTCATAAATAAGGGCTATGTTAAGCCATTAAATTTGTGGTAATTTGTTATGTAACTATAGATAAACTGATATAAACCCTACTAAAGTGGTGACACTGGGTTGGAATTCTAAGGATCAGAGAATGGGAATTAGCAGAGTTGGAAAGGAATATTGAATTACATTTGAAAGCAATTTTAACTTCAGATATGCCCTGCTGGGACCCTGGAGTACTCCTTAGCCTGAAACATTGAGTCATGGACTGGAGTCTCTTGTTTCCTCATCTGGATAATCACTATAGGTCTTTTCTCCTAAGCCTGCTGCATAGACTCATTAAGAAGGATATAATAAGAATTAGCTGTAGCTTGGCTCCCCAGCTAGAAGGCAAGCTTACTATATGAAAATCTGTATACTATATACTCTTAAAAATTATTTGATAACTCTTTGGCTGAATAAATGGATTGTACTTTCACTGTCTCAAAACACAGATTACTCTAAACCAACAGAGATGTCATTACTCTCTTTTTATTTATTTATTTTTATTATCTTGGTAGTTGTATAAAAGTTCCCATTTAACAAAGTAGTTTATGAATACACATTTGCCCTGTTTTATCTTCAACTTCTTGACAAATTCTTTTGGTGGGAGAGGATTTACTAGATCTTACATGGTAAATTTGAAGAGGCAAAATATGGTTTTGTTGTGGGCCCCATAATCTTATGTTTATCATGATAATCAGTATGGATGATCAAAGAGGTGAAACAATAAATATTAATACCCCTTAACAGCTTTTGTCATAATCTCTTAGAGAAAGATAAATGGAATTCAGAGCAAAGGATAGAAGTGATTGAGAAATACAACTAAGAAAAACAGCAACATGACTTTATTTTAATAGAGATTTTTAAAAAGCTAACTAAGGGCTGGGAAGTTGGCTCAGTGGTAGAGCGCTTGCCTCATGCACGAGGCTTTGGATTTGATTCCTCAGCACCACATATGCAGAAAAAAGCTGGCTCAAATGGTAGAGAGCTAGCCTTGAACTGAAGAGCTGAGGGGCAGCGCCCAGGCCCAGAGTTCAGGCCCCATGACCATCAAAGAAATAAGTAGATAGATAGATAGATAGATAAAAGGCTAGTTAAAATAAACTTTATTAAAAGGAAAAACTGAAGCTACTTGCCACTAATGATCCAGTGGAATGGCAATGGGTCCCACTAGGGCACTTCAGTGTGGTCAATGATAAACAAACCCAAGGGGAAGCCACAAGTCCTGCTGAAACTGGGCTTCCAAGAAAATGATCTTACCACTTCCTGATTGGGGGCAAGACAGATCATTGGTAGAATGGGAGGAAAAGCTTTGCTGCTTTTGGTTGTCCAGGACCTTTCTGTTCCTCCTCACCATGAAGATATTATTTTTGGTTTTTTTTTGAGTCATTTCAGAATTATTGCCAGCCACCAAAAATTACCCAAGCTGCCATCTATACCATAGCTTCCCCACTGAACTACCTCTATGCTTTCTACAATTGACTTGGAAAGGGGAAGTGCTTCTGAAAGCCTTGCCCAATTTTAATAAACTCTTGTTTGAATGCAAGGACAATTATTGAGACACCCTGGCAAATTTCTATGGTCTATTGAAACTATGGCTTTTGAAAAATGAGAAATGGAACTAAAAAGAAACATAGTTAATGGTGTGTAGTATGAGTTTCTGTAGCTCTATTTTATGTACATTTGGTCTCGTCACATGCAGTATTAATGTATCTGAAGGAGATATTTACATACAATTTGGGAGAAATGGCAAAGTGCAACCATCTACCAAACTCAAGAAAAGGAGTTGACCCTGTCCATACCTACTGATGGTAGAATGTGGGAAGAATATTAAAGAGTAGCATCTTATTTACATAGTACTTTTATAATTTTGAAATCCCCAGTTTATTCTCTGTCTTCTTCATAAGACCCTAAGCTTCTTTAATCTTGTGGAAATTCATTCTTACTCTAATTCAACATTTGTCCCTAGTACAATTGCCTAGTAGACTTAATTGTATACTTTCACTACAAGTAAATTCTCTCTCTCTCTCTCTCTCTCTCCATGTCTATCTCTCTCTCTCTCTGTATGTCTCTGCTGGGGATGGAACTTAGGACCTCATATATGCTTGGCAAGTTTTATCACTGCACTAATCACTTAGAATGGCATATTCATCTTTACAATGTCATTGTTCAGAATGTTTCTCAGCTAAAATATCTGACACAGAAAGCCTGAAGAACTCAACGTTAGAAGGGTACATGATTAGAGACAGAGCCATGTTAAGGTCGCCATTGAAAACTGGCAGCTGTACAAAACTCAATTAACAACACCACTTGGTATTGAGAATTGATTATAATCTTCTCAATGTAAGAAACCACAGAGATGAAATTCTACTGGATTAAAAGTTTGACTAAAAGTTGGATCAATGAGACCCTTACTGTAAAATACTTTCTTAAAATTATTTTTTGTTGGGCTGGGAATGTGGCTCAGTGGTAGAGTGCTTGCCTTGCATGCCTGAAGCCCTGGGTTGGATTCCTCAGTACCACATAAACAGAAAAAAGCCTGAAGTGGCATTGTGACTCAAGTGGTAGAGCGCTAGCCTTGAGCTGAAGAGCTGAGGGACAGCGCCCAGGCCCAGAGTTCAGGCCCCATGACAGGCAAAAAATAAAATATATTTTTGTCAAAAAGATGTTCAAAGGGCTTTCTATTTAACACAACAATTTATGTGCACCATGCATCTTGATCATAACTGCTTCCTTCATTCTTCCCACCATCTATTCCATACCATCTTTTTTTGGGGGGGGTCATGGGGCTTGAACTCTGTTCCTGGGTGCTTTCCCTCAGCTCTTCAGCTCAAGGCTAGCACTCTACCACTTGAGCCAGAGTGCCACTTCCCGTTTTCTGGTGGTTTATTAGAGATAAGAGTCTCACAGACTTTCCTGCCTGGGCTAGCTTTGAACTGTGATCCTAAGATCTCAGCCTCTCTTGTAGCTAGGATTACAAGCGTGAGCCACCGGTGTCCAGCTATATTCCATGCCATCTTTGCTGTGGCATAGGTGACTGATGAATATTTACAAATAAAGCCAATGCACTATAGAGTTTATTGTTGTCATTTTGTTTTTACAGAGATGACATTCTTTTTTAAAAAAATCTTCTCTACCCCCATTCTAATGTTTTTACTTTAGAGTAAGTAAAGCCTAAGAAACAAGCAATGTTTTCACTAGAATTGTTAGTTAAGAAATCCTGGTTTGCACACAATCCCAAATTGCACTGCTTTGAAGCAGCACATGTTGTAATAGTAGCATTTAGACTTGTGACCTGACAGCAAAGAGCCTCATGAGAAGAGTTTCAAGGCAGAGGTAAAACGAGGCTATTTTTCAACATGGGAGCTCAGTTCTATATCCAGATAAAAGAATATATTAAATAAAAACTGGCAGCAAGTGATATTTTGTTTTACAGATATATGATGCTGTTCCTTCTAGGATTCTTAACATGAAGTGTGAACTTTGCATATGAATCTGCTTTTTTCTATTAAAATTAAGATGACTGAATGTGCTATAAATTACATTGAAAATCATAATTGCTGTTGCTCATTGAAGTGCCATAGAACACATCTCATAAAATCTCCATGTCAAGTGAGTGAGGTGGGAGCAAAATTAAATGGGAGTGTTGGGATTCAAAACCCAGGTGACTGTGCCACAAGAGACAGTTGGCTTTTCTACATGCCACCAACACATTTTCAAACTGTTCTGTGACTGTGATTTGGTCTTAAAATTCCTCTATACAAATGAGTATTCAAATAACCTAGGCTAAATAATCTCGGCTAGAAATGACAAGGATGTTGTAACTTCAGAAACTTGTTAGTGGGGACACTGTGAGCGCAAATTGGGCAGAAAACCTTCAATCCTCTTGCCTTTGCCTCCCCAGTTGTAACTTTTAGGCCCTCACCACCATTCCCAGCATTGAGTGGTGCCTTGTACCACTAATTCCCCACATTGATTGGTACCTTGTCACAAACAAATTTTCTTTGTCCAGAGTAGATGGTTGCCTCTGGGAGCTTCATCCACTAATACAGGAAAAAGAAAAGCCTATTCATGAGCATGGCGTGGCTCATGAATATTCTATAGTAGCCAAGGGCTTGCTTTTCCTAAGAAACAACATTTGGATATTGGCTTTGAGAATGAGAGGAACTGTCAAATTCTTGCTCTTACCGCACTGGAACCCCGGAGGAAGGATAGCAGATTTCGACAGACTGGCAGCAGGATCAGCATACAGTTGAAATTCAGGCAGGCTGCAGGGGCCCTGGCCAGGGCCAGTGCTGACTAGAGGAAGCAGGATAAGGGATAGCACAGTGACACCAGGTGAGCACAGAAAGCCCCACTCTCACTTCTTGTTCCCAGCCCGAGCCCACACACCAGACCCTCTAAGAGATCTGGAAACCAAGGTTGTGCAAAGCAAAAGTTTTTCTTTTAGGGCCTCTTTTATTTTCATCTAAAACTGGACCCTTAATCCAATCCAATATTTGCTAATGAACACTTTTACATATAAAGAGAAACAGAAAGAATTTTACGATACATTTTGCATGTCTATGTTGTCATCCCTCTATGCGTGCATCAACTACTATTTTTGGTTGTTTGTACAGTCAATTGTGGCTATCAGTTTACTTCCTCCTAAATACTGAAGCATGCATGTCATGAACTTGAGTTCTGTACCCACATTGGACCATTTTAAGATTTGAAACAAAGTTTTCTTAATGCTTAGACTGATCTTCATAGTAAATCATTGGTAGACTGTAATGTTTTATCATTTTAACTACAAGCTATGTAACATTTAAAGAAGTTGCACATTATGGATAAGTTGCAGATATCAATGATAATAACAATACAATTATTTTTGTATTTACACATGATTTATAAAGTATATTAAAATTAATATATTAATTCATAGTTTCGGCATGGTTTAATAGAGTTCTAGTGCAGTAGAGATTTTAATGATTTTTGGCAGTGTTACGATTTAAACTCAGGCACTTACACTTGCTAGGCAGGTGTACTACCACTTGAGGCACATCCCCATACCTTTTAGCTTTAGTTGTTGATATGTCACCATGCTCAGCTTTTTGTTCAGATGGGGTTTCACTAATTTTTTGCCTCATTTGCTTTGAACTGCTTTTGTACTGATCTCCACCTTAGGGTAGCTGACATTACAGTCCTGAGCCACTGCACCTGGCCTATAATTATAATTATATATATATATATATATATATATATATATATATATATATATGATGAAGAGGCCTGATAGTTCATGGAAACTAAGATTACTATTAGAAGAAAGAAAGAAAGAAACTCAAGGGTCTCCATTACAAGTTCCTTAAAGTTTCCAGATGTAGAGAGGTTGATTTTTCTGAAGATCATTTCACTAAGAGGAGGGTTCTCCATGGACAAAAGTAGTAGGAATTAGATGACTTAGAAAATATGCATGGGCTGGGAAGGTGGCTCAGTGGTAGAGCACTTGCCTTGCATGCATGAAGCCCTGGGTTCCATGCCTCAGCACCACATAAGCAGAAAAAAAAGCTGGAAGTGGCACTGTGGCTCAAGTGGTAGAGTGCTAGCCTTGAGCTGAAGAGCTGAGGGACAGCACCCAGGCCCAGAGTTCAGGCCCAAGACCGCAACCCTCCCCCCCCAAAAAAAAAGAAAATATGCAAAATTAGCTGGGCTCTAGTGGCTAACACTTGTAAATTTAGCTACTCAACGAGGTTGGGATCTGTGGATTAAAGTTCAAAGCCAGCCTGAGTAGGAAAGCCTGTGAGACTCTTAACTCCATTTAACCACCAAAAAAAGCTGGAAGTGGAGCTGTGTCACAAGTGGTAGAGAACCTTGATAGAAAAAATAAATCTCAGAGACAGCACCCAGCCATGAGTTTAAGTCTGAGGACCAGCGCAAAATCAAGGAAAAAAATATAAAAGCACATTTATTCCAGAGATTTCTTCTTTAAGCCAAACAATGACACATGGCTTGTTGGAGGGAAGGGATGCTTCTTGGTCTCTGCCTTGCTTTTGTTTCTTACACTGGCAGGCCTTAAATGATTCTTAAAGAATTTACAATGGAGGGCTGGGAATGTGGCTTAGTGGTTGATAGAGAATTTTAGACTTTGCCAGAAAACCACCCAGACATCCAGGTACAGAGAACAAAGAAAGGTTTATTGCTGGGAAAGGGGCCAGCAAGACCCCTTCTCACAAGGGAGAAGTGAGAAGAAGCACTGGCTATTGTCTGAAGTGACCTATATACCGTAGGAGGGTTACGAAGGGCTAGAAGGGGCTAGGAGGCAGAGATCCTGGTGTGGACGTGAGAGCCAAGGGCTTTATCATGGCAGACTAGGATTTATGGCTGCTGTGCAAATAGTAGATAAGGGATCCTGCAGCTGCCCAAACCTGAAGGTCACTCTGAGGGGTTCTTGCTGCCTTATATGGTGGTAGCTGCCCCAGAGGCGTGCCATCCCAAGGTAAAGGGGGTTGGAGGCTGATTATTTACTGCCTTTACTAAATGGGCCTAGTGTTGTCTAGGAAAGGAGCATGCTAAGCTGTGGAGAAGGGAAGGAAAGCCTAAGCTATGGGAAGGGAGCTCATTGGGCTAAGAGGGGTAGAGTGTTTGCCTAGTATGCATGAAGCCCTACGTTCGATTCCTCAGTGCCACATCAACAGAAAAAGCCAGAAGTGTCACTGTGGCTTAAGTGGTAGAGTGCTAGCCTTGAGCAAAAGAAGCTCAGAGACAGTGCCCAGGCCTTGAGTTCAAGAACCAGGAATGGAAAAAAGTAATTGTAATGGAGGGAGTGAGGCTGATAGTGCTGTTTTGGTTGATAATGTAAACTTATTTAAAATATTAAATAATAAGGTCAGACTAAAAATGTGAGCCAGTCAATATTGCCTGAGAACAAATTATACTTACCCCAAGGAGTTTTCTAGTGTAAAAGTATTTATCTTGACCATCATAAATTCGGTAGTACCAGACAAAGAGGAAGACATTCATCCCCAGCCACATCAGCTGCATAAACAGAAAAGAATTACATCATGTTTTTGTATCTCAATAGGTAGATTCCATGCAAGATAAGAGTCAGATGAAGGTCAGGACTTCCCCAAGTTCATCTTTTGACAAGATAGCTACAAAGCTGGGTGCAACCAGCTTAAAGCCATTTCTTTCCTATAACAAAGTCACTATTCGTTTCTGTAATTAAACTTACCACCCTGTCATGATTACTTTACTCCTTAGCCAAATAAAAATTAACACTCTTGTTTCATTTCATTTCTTTTTCTTCCTTACTTCTTGACATTAGAGAGGTAGATCACACTGATTGGCCAGCAAAATGAGAAGAAAAGGAAATATATCAGTATTCCTATCTCCCTACCAACAGGACATCGAGTTCTGCTTTGAAGAATCAGTCACCTCCCTGTACCACACATCATCTCTCTCCAGCTAGAGGGAGTCACATGAGCTAACATGACAAGCTTTCCATCCTACTTGATAAAATTTTCTTAACTCTTGAGGGAGGTGATGTTGATCATAATGGAGCAGGTGAGTGGAATGGGATTTAAAGACAAAGCAAACTTTCTAGATTGTGATTTTTTTCATTGTATCCCAAGCATAATATTTCTTTGAGTGATGATGCTCTCAGTCTTCTACCTTTGGCTCCATAGTGATCTTCTCTTAAATATTAAATGACTAGTCATTGGTATTAACTATGAAACACCCATAGATGCTGGCAAAAAGTTAATCTTTACAAAGAAGTTGCTAAAACAACTTCTCCATTTCTTGATCTTGTCATGCTTCACAAGAGGCTTGCGAAGCTGTGTCCTCATTTTCTTTCTTTCTTTTCTTTTTTTTGGGGGGGGGTCCGGTCGTGGGGCCTGAACTCTGGGCCTGGGCGCTGTCCCTCAACTCTTCAGCTCAAGGCTACCACTCTACCACTTGAGCCACAGCGCCACTTCCAGCTTTTTTTTTTTTCTGCTTATGTGGTGCTGAGGAATGGAACCCAGGGCCTCATGCATGCAAGGCAAGCACTCTACCACTGAGCCACCTTCCCAGCCCTGTGTCCTCATTTTCAAGTAGCTGAGTGGATATTTTAAAAGAAGATCATTTCTTAGGGAAAATTGTTGCAAGAGCTAAAAGTATAATACAACTGTTTTTCATAGGATTAATAGTCTCTTAAATGGTACTAAGAAATCAAGTTGACAGTTTCAAATCCTCAGACATTCATATTGCACTAGAATGCTGGTTTGGTATGAAATATCTTTAATAACAAAATATTTGCTGGTTTATTTTATTTATGTAATTTCTTTCTATCTCTACAATTGAACAATCCCATATACTCCATGATACAATCCTTACAAAAGTTCTAATTTGTAAGTGTTCTTTTTACTAACATGCTTCTATTATTGGCTGTTTGGAAAGGCAATTTAGAAATCACATTTCTTTCTAATCAATTGGTCCATAATGGCTTTGTTGAGAGTATCATCTTAGTAGTATAGTTATATCCTTTATGTTCAAAAGCACAGAAACCAATATCTAGTTGAAATATAACCAATCTTTTTTTTTTTTTGGGGGGGGTCCAGTCGTGGGGCCTGAACTCTGGGCCTGGGCACTGTCCCTCTGTTCCTCAGCTCAAGGCTAGCACTCTACCACTTGAGCCACAGCGCCACTTCCGGTTCTTTTCTTTTTGCTTATGTGGTGCTGAGGAATCGAACCCAGGGTCTCAGGCATGTAAGGCAAGCGCTCTACCACTGAGCCACCTTCCCTGCCCATAGCCAATCTTTACTTATATTTTCTCAAAATAGATTATATTGCTAAATATGATTGCATATTATATATATGAGTCTAGATAGTTAATTTTAATTATGTTCTCTTTGATTTTGGTAAACTTCAAAAATAACTGGTATAGACCTCAGAGAATAGATGAAACTTGTTTTTAACTTGGTTATTTTTAGTGTTGTTACTAAAATAAAGGTCAATTTCCTATACTTGAATCTATCTTCTCTTTGTTATTTAAAAAATGATAAAAAAAATTAGTTGACCATTTTAAGTAGTTTAAACACATGGAAAAATATAGAAGTTTGCCTCTGAGTAATTAATGAACTCAAACTTAGGGATAATTAACATGAAATGCCTTATAGTCTGTCTATGAAATGTGAACTTATTACTCCTAGAAACTCAGAACTAAACTAAGAGAATTGAGTACCCAATTATATTTTTTCCATTAAGAAACTTAGAAGAATAAATTCATTCTGTATACAAATAGATGTTTGTTCATATAGCAAATCACTTTCTCACACAACAATAAAAAAAATCTCATTTTTGCCCTATTTTAGCTCAAGGAGAAACTAAACATGTAAAAGAATTCATAATTAATTCATTCATTAATAATGCTGGTACTTACAATGACAAAGATGGAGAGCCCCTCATTCACAGCCCAGTTCCCCATCGTGACAGAGGTTCAGTGTGCTCTGTATGACTTTATTCTATACTGTGCCGCTTCTTCTTATGAGGAAATGAAAACTGTGGCCTTGGGACAACAGGTTTCCTTTTCTAGTATCAGATATTAGCTAATCATTGGTCCATTGCAAAAGCCTGTTTCCACAACAAATTTAAATATTTAAACCATCACACTACAGAAAAACAGATTGGAAAATGAATGCAATGTATACAACTGAAAAATGATGGAGTTCAAGGGATGTTTTTCAATCAGGAGACTTATTTTTTTAAACCTAACCAATTATCTGCTTGCCACTGTCAAGTCACTCAATTGGCCATGTCTTGGTGTGGGATAAAACACATTAAGCAAGTGGGACATTTTTGCCAGGCTTTTATGGCAGCATTTATATTTTCATTGAGAAAAGTAACAACAACAATAATAGATGCTATAGAAAGCCTATTACACACTAATTTATTTGGTGTGTGTGTGTGTGTATATATATATATATATATGTATGTGTCTATGAATGTGCATTTGAGCTAAAATGTACACATTTATATGCATGCACACAGCATACTAGCATACACATACACACCAATTCATTTCATTCTCACAACTCAATCACTATATAGTGGTTTCTATTATTATAATTACATTTGAAGATGAGGAAACTGAAACTCAGAGATGGTAAGTTGCTTGGCCACAGTCACAGAAACAGAAAATAACAGTTGAGATTTGAAACCCAAATTATGTGGCTTCTCAGTCTGTATTTTTTGTCAGTTGTGGGGCTTGAACTCTGGGCCTGGGTACTGTCCCTCAGCTCTTCAACTCAAGGCTAGAGCTCTACCACTTGAGCCACAGCACCACCTCGGGCTTTTTTCTGTTTATGTGGTGCTGAGGAATCAAACCCAGGGCCTCATGCTTGCAAGGTGAGCACTCTACCACTGAGCCACCTTAACTATGATATCAGAAGAAAATCCTGGCTGTAATATCCATCCTGTATCAACTACCTACTGCTACAGAAAATGAAAATATAACAAAATATCAAATACTCAAATGACTGTCAAATTCCCAGGCAGACAACACTTCTCTATAGTGTGTGCAAACAAGTCAGACCATAGGTATGTCGGATATGGTTGGTGCCAAAGCCACATGTAGTAACCCTTTCCCCAGACTGCTTCCCAGTCTTTCAGAAATGAAAAAACAAAAGGGTAAGAGGACAACTTCACTATGAGATCAAAATTGATTAACAAAAGAAAAATAAGATAGAAGATGTATGCATTCCTTTGACTCTTATGAACAAACCACATGGGTCAGCCTCAGAAATGATAAGAAATAGTAAAATAGAGTTTCACTTCATAATATTCAAGGAAAGGTTCTGAGCTCTCACCTCCATGGCTCTTGGAGCACATATAAAGGGAAGTCACTCTCCTGGTTCAATTTCCTGAAGAGACAACTTCAGAGAAAAACAGTTGGATGGTAAAAACATGAGTAAGTTACATGCTTGTTTGCTCTCTAATCTATGCTCATTTCTTTGTCCTGCTGTATTTCAGAAAGAATTATAGTTGCCAGCCTCCTTGCCTTCTAACATCTGATATATTTAGCTAAGCAGGAAAATACAAAGCGGGGAGAAACCAGCGTTCCTTCCCTCGGCTTTTTGTTTTAAGTGGTGTTCATAAGCTGTGTGCATCTCCACTGAGGCTGCAACCCCCAACTGGTTGGGCTTCCCTCAATGTCACGAGCTTCTGTTAGCTAACACCATGGAGTTCAAGCTTTTGCCAGATGGTCCTGGCTGCTTCACTGGAGTTACACCACCTCCTCCCAGTTCCCCAATAACTCTGAGGGTGGCAACCACTTCCTGCACTTGGAAATCTTTATATTGCTTCTGCACTCCCTATTGGGATTCTCCACTTTTCCATCATCCATGCACTAACTTCCTGGTATGAAATCCCCTCTGTTGAAACATGGTGGTTTTTAAATTTTTTTCTAATTGGACTCTGAAACAAAAAGTAATTCAGATGTATACTTATTTTTTTATGTAACTAAGGAAGTGAAGCATACATGCCTAAAGAGCTATAAAAAAATCCCTTCAAAACCTGTTTTCTCTCCTCATCTTAGCCACTGTCAATCTCCTCCTCAGAGATAACTCCCACTCTGTGGAGCTCTTTGAAACTCAACAGTGCTCTTCGGTGCCTCTTTCCTCTTTTCTCTTTCCACATCCAATTCTATTTCACTCTTCAAGTCTTTCCCACCATTTTCCATCTACCTCCTGAAGCTTGTGCTCTGCTGGGGAGGCAAGGGGACTGTGAATTTCATACACTAAGAAATTATGTTCACTGTCTCATAGAAGCTTTTTTCTTATATATTTTCCCACTCCCTTTCCTTGCTTATACAATTTCACAAGAAAATCACAAATTAAAGCACATTTTCTGTAGGTAGTGGACCATTCTCTCCTATTGATTTTTTCCCCTCCCTTGTGAAAGTAATCACAGAGCTGATGAATAGTGATTTCTTGAGGTCTTTAAGTACCTCAATCAGTTTCACAGCTGGAGGAAGAAAAATCAGTTGTGAGTTCTGTGGATTTCAGCAGATTCTGTGGAAAGGAACTTCAGTTTTGAGAATGCTGGTTAAGAAAACTGCCATGTCTTAGCTATGGTAAATAATGCTGCAATAAACATAGTTGTGCTGGTAGCGTTAGTGTGGTCTTGTTTGTAAACATTTGCATAAATGCCCAAAAGTGGGATTGCTGGGTCATAGGGGAGCTCTATGTGGAGTCTTTTAGGAACCTCCATACTGCTTTCCAAAGTGGTTGAACAAGTTTACACTCCCACCAACAATGCAGTAGGGTTCCCTTCTGTCTACATCCCCCCTAGCATCTGTTGTTATTAGATTTCTTGATTATAGCCATTCTAACTGGGGTGAGGTGGAATCTCAATGTTGTTTTGATTTGCATTTCTTTTATGGCTAGAGAGGTCGAGCATTTCTTCATATGTCTATTGGCCATTCTTATTTCCTCTTCATAGAAGTTTCTCTTTAAGTCTTTAGCCCACTTATTTATTGGGCAGTTGTTTCTTTGAGGATTTGTTGTTGGGGGATCCAAACAATCACAAACAAAGCTATACTAAAGCTACCAACACAACTATGTTTATTGCAGCATTATTTACCATAGCTAAGATATGGAACCAACCCAGATGCCCCTCAGTAGATGAATAAATCAAGAAAATGTGATATAGATACATACATATATATATATATGTGTGTGTGTATATACATATACATATACATATATATATATATATATATATATATATATATAATGGAATTCTATGCCTCAATCAGAAAGAATGACATTGCCCCATTTTTTAGGAAATGGAAAGACTTGTAAAAAAATCATACTAAGTACCGTAAGCCAGCCCAAAGAAATTTAGGTCCCACGGTTTCCCTTAATTGGAATAATTAGTGTAAGTTGAGGGCAGGTAGAAAAGATTAAAGCTATGTACATATGACCATATAAAGTGATGTTAAGTGAAATGAACCGAAGATAGGGACACAAGTGGTTTTTTTTTCTTTCTTGCTATTGTTTTTAACGTATTTATAATGCCCCATATGTTCTTTTTGTTTCTTAGTATGTTCCTCCCCCATGGTGTAACCCCTATTTTCACTGTATTTGATGTCGGTGTCCTGCATCTTATATATACATTTTTCTTTTTCTTTTTTTTTTTTTTGGTCCGGTTGTGGGGTCTGAACTCTGGGCCTGGGTGCTGTCCCTCAGCTCTTCAGCTCAAGGTTAGCACTCTACCACTTGAGTCACAGCGCCACTTCTGGCTTTTTCTGCTTATGTGGTGCTGAGGAATCAAACCCAGGGCCTCAGGCATGAAAGGCAAGCACTCTACCACTGAGCCACCTTTCCAGCCCTTATATATACATTTTTCTAATTTGGGGAGGGGAAGGGAAAAAACAAAATGCTTAAATAGCGATACAGGTTGGCCCATTGTAACAATGAGATATACAAGACACTATGTTGAAAAATGAACTGTACAATTTAGGTCAGGGGAGGGGGGAAGGAGTGTAGTTGTGGAGGTGGGAGGGAAGGGATGGTAGGGGGAAAAGCAAAGGAGGAGGCAACAATAATTGATAGGAAATGTACTCATTATCTTTCTTATGTAATTGTAACCCCTCTGTACAGTATTTTCGCAATAAAAATGCATTAAAAAAAGAAAGAAAACTGCCTTGTACCCTGCTCTGAGAAAGACATGCAGAAAGGTTGATAAATAAGCAATGGGATTGGTAGAATGGCATTCATTAGACATGGAAAATGAAGAAATTGAAGCTCTAGTGTCGCGACTGCCTGGACCTGCAAGGATGACGCGACAACAGGTTCTTCTTTCAGGCGGTTTATTCAGGACCTTTTACAACATCTTCTCTTCTCCGCTTGCTTCTGCCGGCTTCTTCCCACTTCTCCTTCCCCTCCGCCCCCGCGCTCCGGTTATAAGCCTCCTGGATGGCCAATCCCGAAGCATCACGTGGCATATACCGATAGGGCTGCAAACACGGAAGCAAACTAGGAGCCAAGTCATAGCCACATAAGGAGTTGTTTTTTACAGAGAGCACTCATCACCGGGAAGGCGGATCTTTGGACGCAGCTGCGCCATGCGGCAGCGCCTTGCCTTACGGCCACGCCGTCTTTGGTCGGGGCTCCCGCAACTCTCCACACTCTAGGAATCTCCCAATCACTTTGTCTGTCATTGTCTCCCAAACTGGTAATGTCAAGTTAGATTGTGGTAACCATAAACATGGCCTCAGACAGCTGAGAGAATAAATACTGAACACCAGCCCCAATAGGCAACAATGACCAACAGCTTCAGGCTTGTAATGGAGTCCTACACACATCTGACTGAACAAAGGAACAGAGAGGAGAAACAAACCCAGGTTTCCAGGAAATTCCCTTGTAGCTCAAACTGCAAAGTAGACTCATTATTCCAAGATGGGAAACTTTAGAAGAAAGGGAGATGTATTATTCCACCAAGATACTCAACAAGTATCACTCAATCACTGTACTCACAGAG